GTCTACAGTAACCGCAAACTGCGGACCACAACCAACCTATTGATCGTCTCGTTAACGGTGTCCGACATATTGACCACTGTATTGAACATACCGTTCAACTGCGCCCGTATAATGTTACACAACTGGCCCTTTCCGGCCTTCCTGTGCGTACTCATACCCATTGTTCAGGTGTGCTGTGTATACGTGTCCACCATTACGATGGCCGTCATATCTGTGCACCGGTACTACTCGGTGTCCCGGCACTCGACCCAAGGCATGTCCCGGTACATGTCCACCGGTCGGCTCAGTTTGCTCATAGCCGGCACGTGGATTCTATCGCTCATGCTGTCGGTGCCGCACTCGGTGTTCAACCGAGTGGTGGCCACTGTGTTCAACAACGCCGACTCCGTCCGGTGTCGGGCCGTCTACCCGGACATTGACTTCAATTTCCCCCTATGGCTGACCATCGAGGTGTTGGCCACGCAATACCTGATCCCACTATCCATCACGTGCTGCCTATACATACGCATAGCGACCATCATCTCGAGACAGGGAGCGCTGGCCGCCCACTCCACCGACGAGACCTACCGGCGCTACTGCGAGGCCAAACGCAAACGCATCGTAATGCTAGTACTCGTGTGCCTGGCCTTCGCCGCCTGTTGGCTACCCTTAAACGCCTACCACCTGTTGATGGACCTACACATCGCCCCCCATAACTACACGGCCTTCCTGGTGGTGCACTCGGTGGCCATGTCGTCCGTGTGCTACAATCCGGTGATTTACTGTTTCATGAACCAGGCTTTCCGTAGGGGAGCGCAGAATATATTCTGTGTGAACGCCTTGTTTTGCAAGAAGTCCGGCGCCGGTGACTATCGTATGAACGGCGCCGGTGGTGACGATGACGAGCTTAACCATCGGTGCACCGGCGGCACCGGTACCGGTGCGGTGGACGAGAGTCAGCCCGTGGTGTTGACCGGTGTGATGGAGCAGACATATGTCTGATATGTTGCGGTTTGTGCTAGCTGGTTATAGTGACCATATTTCCAAGATAATTAAGCTGACTATTGCATAATGTATGTATGATGGTGCACATCTGGTCACTCTATGTGTGATATGTTTGTTTCTCGATGTGTTTTTTTGTACAGAATGTTGAAAAAATGTTTGGGCTATCATTACTAGTATTAATGGTGTTATTGTGTTAAATATTTTATTTATATAAATTATTGTGTTATACCTTAATAAATTTTTAATACCAATTATTTATTGATGATATAACCATGTACAGACTTTCTACTGATTATCGTTGGCAATTTTTGCACGTTGTTTTATCATCTCAGTAATTTATTGAATCAATCACTTTATCTAATTTTATTTTTATTGAACTAACTTCTCTCTCTCTCTCTCTCATGCATTCAATTGTCTGTGCCTTTAATAGTATATACCATAGTATGTATAGCGGGCTGAGACGACAGTCCAGTTAGCGTATAATGTCTCTCTCTCTCTCTCTCTCTCTCTCTCTCTCTCTTGTAAATAATTGTTTTATAAGTTAATTTTTATTACTAATGTAATTAATTTTCATTGTAATTGATAGACAAAATTGTATTACATGTTTAATTCACGTACAAATACAATAATATTGATATAATTTATTGATTAAATCGATTAGAGAGGAAATTCATTAACGTTAAAATACTATTTTATTTTAATAAATGCCTTTTCAATTAACCGCACATTTTATGGACTAAATATTTAGTATAATATGAATTTGTTTTAATCATTTTTACGTGAAATATGATCACAAGCTATTCAATCAATTTTCCCTTTATCTACCCTCATAAACATCTCTCTCTCTCTCTCTCTCTCCTCTCTATCTCTCTCTCTCTCTTTGCTATCTCTAACCTCTTATCATATGTCGAGACATATTTTGTGAACAAATATTATTAACAGACATTCAATGCCGTGTCGTATAGACATTCAATTTGTTGTTTCATTTCATCACAATTGTATAATAACGACACAACTAAATGGTTTTACAATATTTTATAAAATAATTTCATTTAAATCACATTCGCATCAATTGTAAAACAAGGAAAACTTTTATTTGTTTAACTTTTTAAACTCATAATAATATAATACGAATAATTAATTGCAATAATGCCATAGCGGCTAAAAATAAATATATATAAAGTTTTTATATTTAAAATATTGTATTAATAGTAAATAAATTGATTTTAATCATTGAAAACAATGCATTAAATTGAGTTAAATATAAAGATATATATATCTTTATATCTGATACTGAATCTAATAATTATAAAACAATACAAATCTTTTTACATTTTAATAACTAATTACAAAAGATATCGAAATCCATATCCAAAATCTCAGCAATAATGCAACCAATTATTCTTCTCACTCATTAGTAAGCGTAAATTGAACGGGGGCTGAATCACCTAGATGTATAAATTGCATTAATTTATTAATTAGTCAATTCAAATCATTAATTGTTTACGTGTTGTTTGAGTGGATCCCTGTATATGCAAGTGATAGATGTGTGGCATCTGTAAGAAGGGAGCGATGCCCTCATCGGTGCCCTCGAATCGGCCCTTGAAGTCAATGTATCGCAATCTCCGTAATCGCGACAACGACTGCAACGCCTGATCCGTAATCGCCGCTAAATGGAGGTCTAAATGTTGCAGACGTGGGATGTGTTGCGATATGTCGGCGAAGAAGTCGTCGCCGAATCGAAACCCATTAAACTCGAAACGAGTCAATCGTTTCAACGCCGACAATGACTCGGAGGTTATGTTCACGTATCGATCGATATCTGATGCAAATTTCAATCGATTTAATTGTGGAAACGATGTGTTAATCGCGTGAATCACATCCAATTCCATATGAAAGTATGGCCAATGGATCCGTAAATACTTCACTCCATGACATTTGCCACTGATTTGTGTCAATAAAGACAAAAATTCTTTCCCACAATTGTGATAACTATCATATCTGAGCCGAAGAGCGGTCAATGTGCGCAAACGTGACAATCCATTGGCCAGTCTTTGGATGAATATTGGTTTCGGGCCATAGATTCTGAGCTCAATTGCGGTCACTGTTTGGCCATAATTACGGCAAAACATCTCAAACGCGTCCAAATCGGTGAGACTTCTGTCATACATGTCGTCACAACGAATAACCAAATGAAGTGATTTGAGACGTTTGAAGATAAGAGGGCTTTGGGTTAGCATTGATAGCGAGTGGTGGGAAAACTGGTCGTTCTCAGCCCTGTATTGAGTCAATTGGACACACTTTCTAATCAACGGCATAATCACATCCATTTGCCTGTCATTGCAATCAAACTGAATTGTCTTCAATTGCGGACCAAATCGGCTGAAGAATCTATGGATGGCGTCGTCGGTGTCTTCGCTGAAGTCGATGTCGATGTCTATCAATTTCGGGCAGTAATCGATGACCAGATCGATGACCGCGTCGGTCAACTCGACATATCCAATCGACAACCAATCGCCATGAATGTGCGTGATTTGGGAACAGCTGTTGACAATCGTCTTGAAAACGTGTGAATTCTTGCGGCACTTCCGGTATAACTCCTGATCAAAGTTTAAGACTTTCTGAGCGTTGTTTGAAAGCCTTCGGAACCGTTTGGACACTCCCTGCAGAAGTAATCGGTTCTCCAGTGATATGTATGGCAACAACTCTGAGTACAAATCATCGCCGTATCTGTCGAAAGAGTCTTTGCTATAAGTTGTGGCCATTTTTTGCGGCAAACAATTAATGATTGAAATGATTTGTAAAACACAATTCAAAATACAATTCAAAACACGTTTTGAGAGAAATGTGTGAATGAGTTGTGAACTGAAAGGCAAATGTGTTTCACATAAAAGCCATAAATAATGTGTTTATTGAAAATAATTGGAACAAAAGTTTGAAACTTTTGATAAAAACTTTTTACATATTTATTAATCAAAAGAATATTTCATTAATTTAAGACCAAAACTAATTATAAAACTTTAATTTGTATTAAATTTTGAAATATATGTTAATATAATAGAGGAAAGTATATTGAAAATAAAACACATATGCATTTACAATACCGTATTAATAGTAAATAAAATAAATTGATTTCAATCATTGAAAACAATTAAATTTGTGTGCGTTTAGTGTTACGCGAGATATGGGATGAGTTGTTAAGAGTAGGTGTTATTTCATGTGTTTTTAATAGTTATGTTTCGTGTAATGCAATAGAAAAAAGTGATATATATTTATAGCAACAAAAAATGTTTTAAATGTATATTTGTATTGTGTGTCTGAAATGGTATTGTTATGCGAGAGAAATGGTTTATTTCGGAGACTTTTCTTCTTTGGCGACACAAACGGAGGACTGAATAGTGGAGTGAATAGAGAAGCGAATTAAACAATTGAATGTATTATAAAATTCAATGAAATATTGATAAAATGCGTGCCTTTACTACAAAACTAACATTAAATGTACTAAAGTTTTAGACAATGTCTCTCTCTCTCTCTCCCTCCCTCTTCTATCTCTAACCTCTTATCATATGTCGAGACATATTTTGTGAGCAAATATTATTAACAGACATTCAATTTGTTGTTTCATTTCATTACAATTGTATAATAACGACACAATTAAATGGTTTTACCATATTTTACAAAATCATTTCATTCAAATAACATTCGCATCAATTGTAAAACTATAAAAACTTTTATTTGCACCTTATAAAACCTTTCAAATTCATAATAATATAATACGAATAATTAAATTGTAATAATGCCATAGCGTCTAAAAATTCATATACATTTACAATACAGTATTACTTAAAAATAAAATAAATTGATTTCAATCATTGCAAACAATGCATTAAATAGAGTTAAATATAATATATCCGATACTGAATGTTATAATTATAAAACAATACAAATATCAATAAATTTTTTATAAATAATTACAAAAGCAATTATAATCCATATTCAAAATGTCGGTAATGATGTTACCATCCCTCCACCGATTCTCCCCACCCATGAGTAAGAGTAAATTGAACGGGAGCTGAATCACCTAAATATGTAAATTGAATTAATGTAATAATTTCAGCGCCAGTCAATTCAAATCATTAATTGTTTACGTGTTGTTTGAGTCGATCCCTGTATATGCAAGTGATAGATGTCGGGCATCTGTAATAAGGGAGCGATACCCTCGTCGGTGCCCTCGAATCTGCCCGCGGAGTCAAAGTATCGCAAACGCCGTAATCGCGACAATGAGTCCAACGCCTGATCGGTTATCGCCGCTAAATGGAGGTCCAAATGATGCAGACGTGGGATGTGTTGCGATATGTCGGCGAAGAAGTCGTCGCCGAATCGAAACCCATAAAACTCTAAACGAGTCAATCGTTTCAACGCCGACAACCACTCGGAGGTTATCTTCACGTATTGATCGCCATTTGATTCAAATTTCAATCGATTTAATTGTGGAAACGATGTGTTAATCGCGTGAATCACATCCAATTCAATCGAAAAGTATGGCAAATGGATCCGTAAATACTTCACTCCATGACATTTGCCACCAATTTGTGTCAATAGAGACAACAATTCTTCCCCACAATTGTGACAATATCTGAGCCGAAGAGCTGTCAATGTCCGCAAACGTGACAATCCATTGGCCAGTCGTTGAATGGATATTGGTTTCGGGCCATCGATTCTGAGCTCAATTGCGGTCACTGTTTGGCCATAATATCGGCAAAACATATTAAACGCGTCCAAATCGGTGACACTTCTGCCAAACCTGTCGTCACAACGAATTACCAAATGAAGTGATTTGAGACGTTTGAAGGCAATCGGGCTTTCGGTTAGCATTGATAGCGAGTGTTGGGACAACTCGTCGTTCTCAGCCCTGTATTGAGTCAATTGGCCACAAGTCCTAACCCACGGCATAATCACATCCATTTGCCTGTCATTGCAATCAAACCTAATTGTCTTCAATTGCGGACCAAATCGGCTGAAGAATCTATGGATGGCGTCGTCGGTGTTGTCTTTAAAGTCGATAGTAATGTATATCAAGTGCGGGCAGTAATCAATGACCAGATCTATGGCCGCGTCGGTCAACGCCACGAATTTTATCCAATCGCTGTAAATATGAGATATTTGGGAACAGCTGTTGACAATTGTCTTGAGTACATCTGAATTCTTGCGGCACTTCTGTTGTAACTCCCGATCAATGTTTAAGACTTTCTGAGCGTAGTTTGAAAGCCTTCGGAACCGTTTGGACACTCGCTGTCGAAGTAATCGGTTCTCCAGTGATATGAATGGCAACAACTCTTCGTATAAGTCGTCGCCAAACCTATCGAAACAGTCTTTGCTATAAGTTTTGGACATCTTTTTGGCCAACAATTTGTGTTTGAAATGAATTTTTAAAACACAATTCAAAACACGTTTTGTGAGAGAAATGTGTGAATGAGTTGTGAAATGAAAGGCAAATGAGTTTTGCATAAAAGCCATAAATAATGTGTTAATTGAAAATAATTGGAACAAAAGTTTTAAACTTTTGATAAAAACTTTTTACCCTTTCATTAACCAAAATAAATTTCATTAATTTAAGGATAAAACTAATAATAAAACTTTAATTTGTATTAAATATTAAAATATATGTTAACATAATAGATGGAAATATATTAAAACAAAACCATAATGGCTAAAATACATATCGTAATAATGGTAAATTAAATAAAATCATAATTTTAATACAATTGTAAATGAAAACAACAAATTAATTAAAAGTAACACTAATTGTTTTGTTACTGAATATAATAATTATAAAACAATACAAATATTCCTATAATTTAACTAATAATTACAAAAGCAATTGAAATCCGTACCCATAATGTCACCACTCATTAGACATTATGACTTCGAGAGTGAGTGGTAACATTGAGTGGCGTCTATTAACCTAGGTGTATAAATTGAATTAATGTAATAATTTCAGCGCAAATCAATTCAAATCATTAATTGTTTACGTGTTGTTTGATTGGATCCCTGTATATGCAAGTGATGGATGTGTGGCATCTGTAAGAAGGGAGCGATTCCCTCATCGGTGCCCTCGAATGTGCCCTCGATGTCAATGAATCGCAATCGCCGTAATCGCGATAATGAGTCCAACGATTGATCCGTAATCCACGCTAAGTGAAGCTCCAAATGTTGCAGACGTGGGATATGTTGTGATATTTCGTCTAAGAAGAAGAAGTTTCTGAATTTAAATCCACAAATCTCTAAACGATTCAATCGTTTCAACGCCGAAAACGACTTGGAGGTTATCCCATGATTGTAGACATTGTCGTAATTGTAAATTGATTCAAATTTCAGTCGATTTAATTGCGGAAACGATGTGTTAATCGCGTGAATCACATCCAATTTAAGCGAAAAGACTGACAAATTAATCCGTAAATACTTCACTCCAACACATTTGCCACCAATTTGTGTCAATTGAGACAACAATTCTGGCCCACAATTGTGATCATATCTGAGCCAAAGAGCGGTCAATGTCCGCAAGTGTGACAAACCATTGGCCAGTTTTTTGATGGATATTGGGTTCGAGTTATGGATTGTGAGCTCAATTGCGGTCAATGTGTGGCCATAATTGCGGGCAAACTTGTCAAACGCGTCGCAATCGGCTCTTCCGCCAAACGTCTCTTCACAATGAATGACCAAATGAAGTGATTTGAGTCGTTTGAAGACAAGAGGTCTTTCCATAAGCGTTGGCAGCAAGTGTTGGCACGACTCGTCGCTCTCAGCCCTGTATTGAGTCAATTGGACACACGTTCTAATACAAGGCATGATTACCTCCAGTTGGCTATCATTGCAATTAA